CAAAATTGGACTGTTTTGCCAGATACAGAGTCGCCACCTAAATATTTTAAACTATCACTCTACCCTTCTCATCTAAAAAATGCTACACTATGTTTAGTTTTGAACTCAATTATAGTTTGTTTTTCGTGTTTTACTATGTTTTTTAAAATAGTAAAAAAAAATTCAAATTTTTATATGCACTTAAAAAAATAAACTATTTTTTAAAAAAATAAAAGGAAATTTCATGACAAACGAAAAAATAAAATATGAAAAAAAATATAAGTATATATTTTTTTTAATGAAAATTACAAAAATGATTTACTAAATCCCACAAAAAAAAACACATTTATTTATTTATTTATTTATTTTCATTATTCACACATTCGAGAACACAATAAGTTAAAATTTAATTAAGGAACCAACTGAAAAGTCCTATTAAGAAGATGGGGCACCAATAAGTTCTCTTGACTTTTTGGTGCATAAAAAAGTATTACTCACTTTTAATTGTTACCGCAAAGTCCTATTTTTTATTTTTTTAGTTGTGTTTTTCAAAAAAAAAAAAATCACTAATTATTAATTTTTTAGCAATAGATGGAAAATTTGTCACAAAAAAATTCACTAATTGTCATTTTTTACCTACATATTTAGAAAATTGTCATAGAAAAACGTCACTTACACTTGTGAGACTTTTTGATCTATACAAATACTTATGGGAATTAATGGTGCACATATCCTTATACAGAACTAGTGAGTAATTAACCCACTTTTATTTAAGATTTTTTATTTGAGTTGAAAGTGGTGGGTAGTGAGAAAGGTACGCACCGTTTTGTTGAGCGCAATACCCTTTAAAATGGAAAAATTATTGGTTAGTTTAGAGGCACCACGTGGTTATGCTCTTGACTAATTAGAAACCTCCATACCCCTTCATGTTCTCTAATCACCCAATATAAAATGGTGGGCTTCATCCTTTCCACCAATCAGAACACACCTAGGGGCATCACATGGTTGTGCCCAGGACCAATGAATAACTTCTCACTAAAATGGGAGGAAGAGTCAAGTGTGTACAACTTATTGGGCCTAAGACCATCTCCAATCATTGACCAAAAATTTTCATATAATTTGATTATAAATTTAAGTAAAAAGCTCGATTTGACATGAGCTAGTCCAATCCTTTCATCAAATTTATTTATTTTCATTATTCAAACATTTGCGAACACGATAAGTTGAATTTTATTGAGGAACTGACTAAAAAGTCCTATTAGGAAGATGTGTGCGCTAATAAGTCTTTTTGTTTTTTTTTTTTTTTTTGGGTGCATAAAAAAGTTCTGTTCACTTTTAATTTCTATTGCAAAGTCCTATTTTTTTATTTTTTTAGTAGCATTTTCATATAATAAAAAAAAATACCACCAATTGTAAATTTTTTAGCAATAGTTGAAAAATTCGTTATAGAAAAACATCACTGTGGCTCGCCTTCTTCACGCCCCCCTTTCGGAAGGTTTGAAAGAAAGCCCTACAGTTTGGACTACCGTGGTTCTGAATCTAATCTCACAAATGCAATGTGAAACTGATAATCACCAAAGAGTTCAAATCCGGCAAATCTTTTGAAAAATCGATTTTAAATCAAATAGTGCCAAAATTGGACTGTTTTGCCAGATACAGAGTTGCCACCTAAATATTTTATTTTGGAAAATTTAGGAAACCATGACTCGTGCCAAAGGCGATGTGTCCATCATCACCAAAGTTGCCTCGGCTCCGGAACTTAGGTACAAAGGGAGAAGGTCATAAATTGAGCACCCCCATTTGCCCGATCAAAGATCGACCTCTACTAATCATGATATGATTTTTATAAACATTATGTGTTCTTATTCTGATTGTTAGGCTAGCTTTACTATGTGATGCGCACAAGCAAGTATAGACTAGTTTGCTCAATTTGGAACAATTCAACTCATGTTTGTTTGTGAAAATAGTTTGAATTTGCCACCTGAAGTGGGCTTAAAGATTTGCAAATTTTGCCACCAAACATAGTGGGCTTAAAACATGATTTTCCACTCAACAAAGTGGGCTTAAAACTTACATTCGTTGAATCATTCCAATTCAATCAACAAGCCTTCATCCACAGGCATTCAAGTAGTTTAGCATTTAAACACATAGCCTCAGGGCAAGCATGCTAATCATGGCAACATTTACACTTATGCAAGTATGATAAAGCGTAAAAACTCACCTAGTACTCCAAGCTAAGAAAATATGAGTTAGAAAATAATACATGATTCCTAACTATGTTAAGATGCCTAACACAACACATGCAATATGCAATTAATAGGCTTGGCTACTAATATGGCATATGAAGCGATTTGAACAACATGCGATTAAACACGTATTCAAAGAATAATTGAAATGACAATGCAGTTTGAATGATGTGATGAGCCTCGGTGCATGCAATACGAATGAATAGATGCAAGCATAAGGTATGCTAATTTGAAATATGTCCCTAATCTAACCATCAAAAGCGATTAAATAAAAGGGAGAAAGACGTAGGGTTGGAAAACATACACACACGCATGCACACTTTTACAACATTACGCCCTCGCGAAGGAGGGTCCAAATGAATAAAAGCTAACTAGCTAACTAGACTAATTAAGCTAATTATTACAAGCCGAACTAATCAACTATTCTAGTTAACTAATTACAAAACAAAATTGTTAGACTGACTAATTATTCACAACACATAATTAGCTACAACTAATTAATTACAACACATATTCAAGCTAGATATTTAAGCGTTAAATAAGCTTGAAAATGCAAGGGAGGCTCATGCACGTGCTCAGTTTCCACCCGAAAAGCCGCTGTTTTGCTTCTGAAAACCTCCGTTTGAACATTTGATCACTGAAAATTTTGCCAACTTCCAGAACACCTCTGCTTCGTCTCAGGAACACATTGTACAAATATCACTGATGGCCGACAAGAGGGACAAGGGGCCGGTCGGCCACTGGTGGTGGCTGTTGGCTACTGCTGGTTTAAACTTTCATGCTGCAACAGAGAGCAAACAGGAAAAAATAGTGTATTTCTCAAGGGTTGTTTGCACTGTCTACCCTCCTTATCATCACACAAGCTCAAAGGAGAGAAACTCTTGGCCCTCAAACCATCAGTCAAGCAATTTCCATGCATGATGGCTAAGGGACCAGGTTTGTACAAGTTCAATAAATGCACAAACAAGACCAAAATGACCACCACCCTATCATGCATGATCAAGGGCAATGGTGACCTAGGAAAATGGCATATTTCATCACATTGAGTATGAAATGCCCCATTTCCCTTGTGTTCAAATTAACATTCGATTTGAACACATGCAATGCAACACAAAGAATGCTTGTCTTACACACTTTTTCTTGCCAATTTTGTTTACTCATTTTAGTTACAAAACCATTCATTAATTCATTAAGTCCATTGATGAGTGTCCTCTAATGGAAAGAGGGCTCAAACCCCAAGTTACTTTGAGCATGAAAGAGGCATTACATTATTGGTATTGAACTCCCTAAGGGATTAAACTATTAGGTGTAGCACCTCCATTTCACACTTATGCAAACAAGTGGCTTGAAACCACTTTCAAAGCAAAACCAAAAGGTGAATAAATGAGGGAGATTGCAAAGATTATAAGTGCTGAAAATGAGTGATAAAAGCACTAAAACATGTAACCAACTCAAACCAATGATGCTTAAAGCCTTAAAACACCAACTATTATACTAGAGGCATGCAAAACAAGGCTCAAAAAGTACCAAACAGCCAAAACAGTAGCAAAACAGTTCAAAATAGAGTGTAAAACATGCTGGACTCAAGCTAAGTTAGGCTAAAAAAACATGCTAACATGTGAAGCTAACTAGGCATGCAAACAAGACACAAGGAGGGGAGGCTAACCCCTCCAATTTTGGACTTCAAAATAAGTTTTTGATCACTAAAAAATCTCTGAAATTCAGTGGTTAAAAGGCCCAAAAAAATTAATTTGAAAGTGATGAATAAAAAGCACAAAAGCTATATAAGCAAAGAAACAAGAAGGGTGAACCTCCCCTAACTAAAAAAAGGGCTCAAGTCACCACTTTGAACTAAAAATTTGAGGAAAAAAATATAAATATTTGAATTAATTTTTTGACATTTTATGAAAAAATGTGTATTAAAAATTTGTATAAATTAGTGTGTAGGAGAAAATTAAAATTGAGAGTTGTGTAGTCGTACTTTTTGACGTTTGGTAAATAGTGATAACTTTTTAATTTTTTGAATAACTTTTTGACTTTTTGACTTTTTTTCAACTTGCCAAACTTGACCTTAGTTTAAAAATTACATTTTCATTTATTTCTTTCAATCAATTCTCTATTATTTATTTTTTTTATTAACAAATTCTCTTTTTATTAAAATATAAATTTTAATTATAAATTAAAAAAATAAAAAACATTAATATTTAAACAGATAGAAAAAAAAATATAAATTTGAACAGATAGTCAATAAAAAGTCAAATGAATAAAAAAAGTCAAGAGGTAAAATTGAAAACAAAATGTACTTTAGGACTTTGCACCAAATTATTTCATAAAGCTTAGACTTTTCATCAATAAAAATATATAATGCCTTAGAGCATCTCTAATAGAACCCCTAAATGTCATTCTTACCTATTTTAAGGGATTAGTGGCTCACTATACCCTTCCATTAGAGCCCTTAAACACTTATCTAAAATAGGAATTGCTTATAATTTTATTTTATTTTTTGCTTTGTTTTATTTAGGGATTACAATACACATTTATGATTTTTATTTTTTAAAATTTATAATTAAAAATTATATTTTAATAAAATAGAGAAAAAAAATAAAAAATTTATTAATATAATAAAGAAAAAATAGAAAGTCTGTTAAAAGAAATAGATGAAAAAATAATTTTTTAATGATATTTTAGGATAAATTTAAGTCTCACATGCTCTTGGTAAAGGAGGATGAAAGATTCTAATCAAATAAAGAGGTGGATGAAAGATTCTAATCAATTAATTAATTAATTAATAAAATAAAAAGGGGGACTGAAGTCTCAGCCGAGGCGTGATGGAGGGAAGTCTTGGTGTGGGTCTCCTCGGCGGCTACTGCTGTTGCATCTTCCTCTTTCTTTTCGTCTTCTTCACTACTTGCTCTGCTTCTCTTCTTCCCATCGGAATCCACCCTCTAGGTCCTCTCTCTCTCTCTCTCTCTCTCTCTCTCGCTCGCTCTCTAGATGTGTATTGATTTCTATTTCTGTAATAAGGAATATTTTTTTGGTTAACAGATGACAAGTATTATGCTTCGGAGGTGATCAAATGCAAAGACGGGTCAAAATCTCTCACCAGAGACCGTATCAATGACGACTTCTGCGACTGCCTTGACGGCACTGATGAACCTGGTATTATTCCTCTCAATTCCAAGCTTTTTGCACTTTCAATCCCTCCAATACATAATATGTTTATTTATTTATTTATTTTATTTCTATTTTCAATAATCTGCTCCGTTGAATTTATAGTAACCTTGTTTTTTTTATCGATTATTATGGTGTATGATTGCTCCTTCTCTAATCTATGTGGAAACATTTTCTGGGTTTGAATTGGATGTGCGAGTGGATTGAAAAATTCCGCAGGGTTTTTTGTAGCATTTTTCAAATGGATTGGTATCATTTTGAGTCCAAAAAATTTGATCCATCCATTTGTTATTCTCTAAAAATTGACAGTATTTCTTTCAAATTCCCAACTAAGTGAAACACTCATAAGCCAATCTCCGACCCCTTAATATTTTCATTCAAAGCACTCCAATTGATAAGCTCAAATTTGAGTAAAATTGCTGTGTGTCAAGTTTTGAGTGGATCCTAGGAGTTGGAGTGAAGGAGAATTTGGGTAGAAGTACCTATGTGTAAAGTATTATGTCTCAAATCACTTTCTTTGTTTTTTTTGTTTTTGTATTTTTTTTTTTTGTGTGTGTGTGTGTGTGTGTGTGTGTGTGTGTGTTCTTTTCTGGTTTGGTGAACTTTGGTGGGCAAGATGGGTAAAGAATGTGTAGGTCGAAGATTTTTAATGAAAATAAATAGTTCATTTAAGAGAAATATTTTATGTTGTTTTCATTTGGGATTTTTTTGTTTTTTTTTTGTTTTTGGAAACAGAAACACTTACACTTTTGAAAACATTCATTGTTTTCTAGTGTTCATTTTTTGTGCAAAATAGTTTTTGAAAATTTAGAAAATGATTTAAAGAGTATTTTCTAAAAAAATGGGTATTTTCAGATCATTTTCCCCAAATTAGTTGTTGGAAATAGTTTGCCAAACAAGTTTTCCATGTTATTTTTTTGTTTTTTGTTTTTATGAACAGAAAAATGAATACGATACCAAATGCACTGCTATTTTTGCATTTCTTTCCTTGTTCCCCCCCAGAAATTAGTACATTATATGTAAATACATATTGAGTCATTGACAAATTTGGAACTTACTTTTTTGAAACAAGGAAGGCATCCACACTTCTTTTTCCCTTCTTTATTTCCCCTTATTAAGTGGACTTCAGATCAAGTGTTCTCCTAGGAGTTTCATAACTTTTGTGGATCTAATTTTAATTATCATAATGAGAGAGAACATTTCCTCATGCTATGCTGTCACTTATGTCCACAGTGACATACTTTTCTTCCCCAAAATATGGTGCATGATATTCGAACAAGTATTAGTGGAGATCTGTGTTACATTGGTTTGTAGAAATGTACGAAATACCCGTGTCGGACACTCAACACTTCGATAATTATATGGGATGCGCGATATGTTCAGTTGAACATTCGCCAAGCAAGCAGAGTAATTTGAATTAACCATAAAACTATGCATAAAATTTCTATATTATGCATAAAATGCTCTATGACACTAGGGGTGATGATGCAGTGGGATAACGTGAAGAGCAAAATCTGAAGCAACAAGAAGAACCTCACAACTCTTCTACAAATCTATTGAATCTGAAGATTATAAGAATTATAGCAAAAAGAAGAGTATTCTTTGAAACAAAATTGTATATTATTAATCAACTGAAAGCTAATAGCCATAAGGCTTACAATCATTATTTATAATAAAAGATTATTCATAAAACTACTAGTACTAAAAGGAAAATAAAATATTAAAATAATCAATTAATCCTAATTCTTGTAGGACAAGAAATGAATAAAATAGGAAACTTAAATGAAAAGAAAACTATAGTCAAAATAAAAATAAAAATATGTTTTTTCTAAAATCTGATTGCACCATTCTCTTCTGCTTGAAAAAACTCGTCCTAGAGTTTCTATAACTTGAAACAGCTTGACACGTTTGCACTTGTTTGCATCAACCTTGTATTTGAGGTTAATTTATTCAAACCTGAATTTTACAAGTCTTCCTAAATTAAACAAATAATTTTCTCCAATAATTTGGCCCATGTCCAAATAAGCACATATCCAAACCTATAAAATCTTGCCTTGCATCTTCAACCAATTGATTTTCAAAGGAACTATAAGGAAAGCTCCACGGATTGTAGTACCATAGTGAACCGAACTGAATTGTTTCCTATTTTTATATTAAATTTAGTAAGTAGAGTAAAAGGTGTTGGAAGAAAAAAAATCAAACATTAAATTTTCAACTTAGCCTTCACATGCGCTAGCCAACTGAGTTGTTCTTAAATTTTGTTCACACTAATAAATTTATATAACCAATATATCTGTATAGACACACACAAACATTGTTTTAAGTTTATGTTTTTTCATGAAACAATATTAACTTCAATTTATATAGTTGGTTCTATGTTATGTTGTAATTTATTGATCTTTTTATAATTGGGATTTTTCATAATGAAATTGCCTAAAATCTTAGAACCAAACCGAAATGGTTTGGTTCTAGTTTGCTTCATACCTTCAGTAGTGTGGTTCTAATTCTAAAGTTTTTCGAATCAGAAGGAGTGTTTGGTCCCATGTCTACCTTAAAATCCGACCAATCCACTATGTGAAACCTCCTAATCACTCTAAAAAATAAAATTAATATATTAAAAAATATGAAGATTTTTTGTGTCGTATTGACTTTGGACATCGGAATTAGATGAATCGAATTCAAACTTTGGACATGGGAATTAGATGTACCTTAGTTCATGTAATATAGGTGAAGATTCTATAAAATAATTGATGTATATTATTGATTGATGTATGTTGTTGATCTTATTATGGGAATTAGATGTTCCTTAGTTCATGTAATATAGGTGAAGATTCAAAAAACACGGACACGAACACGAGACACGGTGATTTCAAACAAATGGAAACACTACAATAAAAATAATTGTTTATATATTTTTATTTGCTATGTAGATTAATATTACATTGACAAACAATAAAAAATTAACAAAAACGAGCATTAATTCAATGTGTATATATATCCTTGTCATGTCCTTTGAAAGCAAATCAATTAAATAAAGGGACATGCCGTGTGGCGTGTCCCATACATACCCTTGTTGTGTCCCCACATCTGACACCGCTATGGCACCTTTTTTGAAGTGTTGGTGCTTCATAGGTGGGAGATATATACGATGAATGGGAACCAAGTTACAAGACATAAAAATCAACTTGCACCACTTATATGGTACAGTAGTATGCTTTACTTCATCCTGATTTGATATATATATATATATATGTATATTTACACATTTGGTATCAATCAAATTTTTGAACTTAAAATAAAAACAGATTGAGATTTCCTCTTCTTTGTTTTCTAAATGTTGTTAAGGCCCTGTTTGGTAACATTTTTAGTTATAGTTTTGTTTTTTTTTTTCGTTTCTTTTTTTTTTTTTATAAAAAAAAAACACAACAAAACTTGTTATGGTGAGCTGTTTATGTTTCTAAAATTGAGTAAACAGTTGCAAAATTTACGTAAATTCCATAAACAAGAATTTGCTGGTTATGGTTATATAAAACAGAAATTGGCGTTCATGCGTGGAAACCCTGATGAACATTGTTTTGTCTAGAAGACTACTCTTTACTCAGGATTGAAACTCGCTTGCTGCAAAAATACCACACCTTTTCTGTATTCCCAACAGTAAACTCTGCGCAAGCGAAGGGAGCTGGTTGCAACTCGTATGGCTCTCTCTCTTGCGTTTGTCTGCATCTCATACATATCCCTTCTCCCGTCCTACAAGAAGGCCACTCAAATCTGTATCATTCACCTCTGGTGTTCTTCAACAGGCTGAGTTCTGCAATTTTTGAGACCCACATTCTCGAATTCTCTACTCTGCAGACCCATCTACACGTTAGACTCCTATTCACTGATCCCATATGAACAACCTGGAACTCCCCCTTCCCCTCTCCACTACCTGGTCTCTAGCTCTTCCCCCACCACATGCAGCTCAATATATATATTTTCCCCAGTAGCTCAAACCCCTCACCCTATGACCTGTTTTCACTGATTCCTATCAAAACAAACCTGCAACTCCCTGCAACAGAGTAAAGCACAATCTGCAATGCATCACCACTCTTCTTGTGTCATACACAGTTCACACTGCTTATTATTAGGCAGTTTGCATGTTCATTGATATATATATTATATCAAATGCAGTCGGAGTTCTTCTCTTTGACTACGTTAAATTGAAATGCATGTCATTCTCTTGTTGTAACCCACACTGTAGGGATAGGTGACCATTAAATTTGTTGAAAAAATTACACTTCACTGTCAAAATTAATTTAAAACATGTATACCACATTATTTGTTACCAAACATGTTTTATTGTTTATGTTTTCACAACATTGTGTCCCATCAAACATGTTTGTACTTCATGTTTTTTGGAAAAATAAACAAAAAAACTGTTTACAAAAACTTGTAAAACGTAAACCTTACCAAACGCCTCCTAAGTAATAGTGTTTGGACTACTTTTTCTTTTGGTAGTTATGTTTGGCATGCTGCTTATTCATTGAAAGAACAAAAACTGAAAACCAACAGTTCATGTTTAGGGGGAAGGTTGCTTACCATTTTCTTTTTATGTGATACAAACATTTGGGTAGTGTTTGATAACCCTGTTCAACACACTTAAAATTGAATGTATTTAGTGAAAATAAATGAAATCTATTTGATAACCATAATTCGTATTACTTCAAATTTTCAAGAACCTAGAGGGGATGCTGTGGCGCGGGCTGCGCAGCAGCAATTGCTGTTCAGCGAAATGGGCCCATTTCGGAGCGCATTTCGATAATTCGAGCCATTCATATTTTAAAATACATCAAGTAGAACATGCCTGCAAAAAATCAAGTTAATCGGATATCATTTACCCATTCATTCACTCACATTTGTATCTACAAAAATAAAAAATAATTGTGATTTAAAGTATTAAAATGAATATAAATGTGAGTGGGTGAATGGGTAAACGATATCCGATTAATTTTATTTTTTGCTGGAATGGTCTACTTGATATATTCCAAAATATTAACGGTTCAGATTATCGAAATGGACTCCGAAATTGACCCATTTTGCTGCACAGCCCACGCAACAGCATCCCCAATTCCTGGCCTTTGTTATAAATGTATATATATATTGGTCTGCCTCTTTGTTTTATATTTTCAATGGTATATCACTTCTTTATTATTATATTTTATTTGATGATAAAGGGGCCTTCTTTATTAATTCATTTTTGTTTTTATACCTAGAATAGTTTTCATGAATTTTATTTGTTATTCTTTTTTTTGTATATAAATATTTTTATGCTATATTTAATTAATTTTATATTTTATAAAAATAAAAAAACTCAAAATTCAAAAGGCTTACATCTCGCCTCATCAATAGTAAAACAACTACCCTTGCTCTTTCACCTTTAAAAACTTTGACCACAATTACTACCACCACCAACAACAACACAAACACCACCACCCCACCACCGCCATCACAATCACCAACAACAAGACAACCACTTCCACCACCACCACCAACACCAACACCAACAAATTTTAGCCTTTTTTTACGTATCAAATAACTTGATTAAATTCAGCAGATAAATTTCAGTAAATACGAAACCATTTTTTAGATTAAAAAATTCAGTATTAAGTTTTCAGAACTTAATTTTCAATTTTATTAAACAACACCTTCATCTTCTTTTCTTTTCCTTATTTCTTCTGTTAAAAACAAAAAAAAAAAAATCATATCCATCATGACAAAAGTGCATCATAATTTATCTGTTTTAAACCATATTCTCGTCTCTTTGACTCACTTGGCCCTCTTTGTGAAATTTGTAGGAACGTCAGCCTGTCCAACGGGTAAATTTTATTGCAAGAATGTAGGAAGTACACCTCAGTTTTTGTTTTCTTCTCGAGTGAATGATCAATTCTGTGGTAAGTACTATCAATAAAATCACATCCCTATCCTTTTCTTTCGTCGTGTTAGTTGCTTTATGACTTGGGTGCACTGAGTGCCATGGAGTTACATTGATGGACCTGAGACGTACCTTCTGGAATCTGATTGTAGCGAGTTGTGTAGTGCTTAGTCTTGTTTATTTTTCTTAGAACCTGGATTAATAACTTAATTTTATGGTTCAGTAAAAGTGTAACTTTTTTTTTTGTTGTTGTGTGCGCGCGCGCGCGCTTTTTATTATTAAAATTCAGTTGCCAACTTTTGTACCTTATAGATTGCTGTGATGGAAGTGATGAGTATGATGGTAGCATTATTTGTTTCAACACGTGTGTCATGGGTGGGAATGTTGGATACGAAACTATAAATTATAAATCAACGACTGCTGTTGATGATGTGAAAGTAACTGAAAAAGGAATTATTTCAGAGGATTCAACTCAGAAATTTAAAGGTATAGTTTGTTTATCGCAGCTTTGGTGCAAATGAGTTTTTTTATTAAAACAATATGTTGGGTATTGGTGATTTCCAGGTTTGAAGATATTCATAATCCTACAGGCAATTCTCATCAGTTTTGTAGTGGCTTTCGGTTTGTTTCGTAGGCGTGGGAAATTGAGAAGACGACATATTCACCGACCAAGTTTAACTTGAGATTGCTATTCTAATTTTGATCATTTCTTATTAGGCTCTTCTTATTTGTCTTTCAGTTCTGCCTATAAAATTGTAATTTCTACTTTGATTTCATATTTGTACTATCTTTCTAGTTTTTTTTTTTTATTTTTTATTATCACTATATTGTCTGAATTTATGCTAGATTCCTTTAGAAATGTCTAATGGACTTGTATCAGAGTCCAAATCCTTACTGAATTGCTAGCCTTAGGCTTCGTTTGGGAAGTGGGTTGGTTTTTAGTTTTTTTGACTATTTTAGCTTGGGGCTAAAAAGCCTGGTTTAGGAAGGATTTTTAGTTTTTTTGACTTTTTTGTAAGAAAATGAATGTAATGATTATGGGTTGGATGTGATATTTTGTCTTATTGGGTTAAAAAACCTATTTTGTTTTTTGTGACTATTTTAGCCAAAAAAAGCTCCAAACCTCTCTTCCCAAACAGAGCTTAATGATCTCAACTTGTTCAAAGTTGACTTCATGAAGTCTACTAATTGTGAAATTCCTTCCTATTGTCATGTTTATATATGTGTTTATTTGTTTCTGTGCGGATTCATTGTGTATCACCCTGCAATTTGATGTTTAGGAGCCATTTGTTTGGTGTATGGTCAGGTGTGAGACATGGATTTGAGTAATCAGCTATTTTGTGCAAAATATTATAAGGTTAAGTTTGTATCGAGTTTATCCCTCCGAGTACCTTGCATTTGCATAACCAACATTGGATAAATGCCACCTCTTTACCATGTGATGTGATGTGCCTTGCATGCATGATTTCAAACCTTAAATTGATAAATTGGGACATATACTACACACCTATTTTCAAGTGTGTTATAATTTTATTTATTTATTTGATAGATGTTTAGATTAAGATGGACAGGGTATAATCCTCGTTATTATATATATTGGGTTGTAGATGGAGAGCCGACTTGGATAAGAAATAGAGCAATGTTGGGTAGCCCGAATATGAGGTTGCCTCCAATGGTTTGAAATTTACCTTGTCGATCGTCTGGACAGTCATCCGGGCGATCATTCGGAGAGAGAGCTGACAACCGCGGTCGACAAAGGTGACAACCGCAGTAGACAATCTTTCACCCGGTCGTCCGGGTGGACATCCGGCCGGTCATCTGGGCAGACGGCCGGCCAACGCCTATTCGGGCCATTCGAGTTTTCTTCAATTCGAATTACCACGCTTTTTCCTAAGAAATAATAGAATAAGTCCACTTTTAACGTACCTTAATGATATTTTTTTAAAAAATATGAGATTGTATGGACTATTATGTGGATGCCATATAGAAGACAAATAAAATATAAAATAAGATATTGACAATGTTATCAAATTAAACCTAATTATATCGATTAAATGAACACTTGGGTTGTTACTTGATTGATCCAACCTAGTTTAATATATTAAGGGTTTTGGTTCATAGACTTGGATTGAGCTTAATATTATTTTTTCGGGCAGTAATTAGGATTTATGAAGGAAAAATAATTTTCTGAACTTCAAAAGAGAGAGTTGTGTAATATACTTTTCCTTTATTTATTTATTTATTTTTAATTCGGCAGCTACGTAGAATGTACCGTGAAACTTCACCAAAGTGTATCAACAAATTGCTAAGAAGAAAAGGTGACAGCGAGTGCTAAGAATATTCGACGAAGTGTTCAAAGGAAAGATGACAGGAAAAACGCATCACACAAGATTAATAATCATTAATACTACAAACCATGGTTTTGAAAATCAAAGCAGTCAATTCGACCGATTGAATTATTAACCGGTCAAGATTTTAGTTTAGATATACTTTCTAAATTGTTTCAAGTTAAAAATCAAACTATTTAGAGAGAATCGGAAAAATCAACGGTTGAACCGTCGAACTAGGTAATCCGAGAGCGGGTCAAGCGAACTAATCGGGTTGAAGAAATTAAAAATTTTGAATTTTTTTTTTTAATTCTTTCTTTCTTTTCTTTATTTTATATGTATATATGTAAGAAAATTTGAAGTATAAACTCTCTTTCAAAGGTCTATTATGAGAAATCCCATTAACAATTTGAAATTATTGTGAAAGTCTCTACCTATTTATAAGAAGAAAAAAAAATTCAAAAAAATTCAAAAAATCTATGTGGGATTCAATCAAATTTATTAGAGGAAGACTTGAAATTTTGATATCTCTTCAAAATTTTTATTTTTCTTTCAATCAAATTATTTGAATTAAAATCATATAGAGAGAATTATTAAATATTTGGTATCATGTAAAATTAATAATACTTAAAAATATATTATTATATTTTTTAGTAAAAAAAATATTAGTAGAAATATTTAAGATAATTTAATATTTTCAATTTTTTTTTTAATTTATAATTTTACTACTTATATTTTTATTTAAATATAAGTTTAATATATTTATGACATCACGGTTCGATCCAACGGTTGAACTGGTGACTCATTCACCCAATCACTTTTCTAATTCACTCACCGGTTCTGATTTTTAAAACATTGCTACAAACAACAATGATTTTGTTCACTTGTTTTTAGACTTCATTTACTATGAGTTATTTTGACTAAATTAGTTAATAAAAGTAAAATAGATTAATTTAGTCAATAAAATAAATGTTTCATTGGAAAAAAGACGATTTTAGTTATCTATTTGATTTTTAATTAAAAAAAAAGTGTAAGAAATAGAAAGAGCAGAATATTTTGTTTGATTGGCTATTTCAATCTGAGATTAACCAATCTAAAAAATATCACATTTAATCCATAATATTTTATAATTTTTCTCACAACTATCAAATCAATTATAAAAAAATTCAATTTATTCTAAACACAAATGTTTTAGCTAGATTAAAATAATCGAAAGTTATGTTAAATTAGTTCATCCCAAACGAAAGCTTAGATGCCGTTTGGTAACACTTACGTTTTCAGTTTTCAGTTTATATTTACAAAAATTTTAAAAACTCAAATAAAAACTTGTATGATAAATTTTTGATTTATAAATCAGTGGTCTCAATTTATAAATTTAGCCAAAAAATATAAACTCAAAAAATGTGTTTTCGTTTTGAGTTTTCAGTTTTTTTTTTTTTTTATTTAACCACCCAACATCTAGCCACAAACCCGTCACCATTTTTCATCACCGTCTTCCGCTACCACCACCACCCCCCACCACCTCTCCTGCACCTACACCTCACCACCACCTACCACACCGCTCCGCCACCACCACCCACCACCCGCCAGCCACCAACCACCCGCCGCCTACCACCACCACCCATCATCTAACCCATCCACCTGCCACCACCCGCCCTCCACTCTACCACCGCCCACCCGGCCACCACCACCCACCCACCACCGCCACTCACCTGCCACCCAGCCCACGCGCCTACCATCCAATTCGCCTGCCAACCACCCTGTAAACCTAGCACACCACCATCCACCACACCGCCACCACCCACCACTGCACCCATCACCCCCACCACCCAATCCGCCACACCCACCCACCACAACCTGCACCACCACTACCACCCCGCCACCATGCACCCAGCCACCCACCCGCCACCACCCACCACGCCAACCGCCACCACCACACCACACCCGCCATCTACCACCATCTGCCACCACCATCCACCCACCTTGTCATCGCTTTCCACCACCGTCTTTCGCCGCGCCACCACGCGCCACTTGCCCACCACTTTTCCTACCACCGTCTTCCGCCGCCACCACCACCCACTCACCCGCCACTTGCCACCACTTTCCACCACCGTCTTCTGCCACCATCACCTACCACCTGCCACCATTTTCCACCACCGTCTTCTGCCACCACTTGCCATTTCTCACTCTTTTTTATATTTTTAAATTTTTTTTAAACATTTTGTCAAAACCAAATGCGTTTGTAGTTTATGTTTTTCTAAAAATAAACAAAAAATAAGCAAAAACCAGTTTATAAAATTTTTATAAATATAAATTGAAAATGTAAACGTTACCAAACATGCCTTTAGTGTGTGAACAGTTTATCAATTATGATTGATATAAATACGTGGATTTATACTTAAAAAGTGTAATTATACCACCCAAAATTATAGGTGGTTATTTTCAACCAATCAAAATCTGTATATTGTTCACACATTGTTTAAGTGTATGAGCAAAATTGAGCTCCACTATAAACTCAGTAAAATTTATTCAAAAATTTATTTAAAAATTTTAATGTGTGATCTAAATTTATTTTATATATGGATTCTATTAATTGAATCACAATCACTCCATCTTATTCGACATAAAATTCATGAGCAATGCTAAAAACTCCAAATAAATTATTAAATATTCTATTTAATACATTGATGTACGACTCATGTGAGTCCACACTTATGTGAGTATTGTGTAAAATATTTAATAATTCATTTGGTTTGTGCTTCAATTATAAATTTATGTAGAAATTTAAAAAAAAAAAAAAAAAAAAAGTGAATGAAATATAATTATATTTTATTTACATTTACCTACATTATATAGTTGTATTTCACTTATATTTACTTACAGTTTTTTCCCTTACCAAATCAATAATCCAAACAAATGTGATCCAAACACATTCTTGATGTCTCTAAGAGCATCTCCAACGTTGTTTTTTTAATTTTTTTAAATTTTTTATATCAAATTGGAATAAAAACTACATCTGATATCACGCGCTCCAACTAACTTTCATCAAAACACCGATCGACTAGACGAACGACCAGGCAGATGTCTGGCCAAACAACCAGTCAGTGTAATTTTTTCACAAATTTTTGCAAGGAGGTAGTCATCCAGGGGGACCACTAGCTGATCATCTTGTAGTGAAAATGACCTGCAGCTTCAATGGCTATGAATAGCAATTTAATGAAAGGCACATCCGAGAAACCCAGGATCTGATACTTATTTGGTGATATGATTGGAGCAGCAAAAGAAGCCTGTTTTATCAAATTTAAATTTGATGAAACAAAAGGTGCTGGAATAGAGATGGTCTAACAATTTCGAAAGAAAAAATTTCATCTGGCTTACTTGTAAACTCTACTGTTTATGGGCAGCAATTATCAGGTTGGAATTTTTTTTTTTTTTTTTCTTCATATTGGTGAAAGTAAGTTGTTAATAGTGAGATTAAGACCTATAGAAGTTAGCCTCTCTACTCTTGCAAAGCACCAAGTGCTTGTCTCGTAATTCAACTCTCCCTTAAGGAGAGTTGAACCCATGATCTTTCCCTTGGGATTAAATCCGTAGGAGAGTCATAACTAAGTTAGGCGTAATTGGTTAAAGAACTCATGAATTAGAAAAATATTACCTTAGGCCTCTTTTGGGTAGTGCTAAA